GGGTGGCGGCGGTGGTGTTGGGGGTGGCGGTGGTGGTGTTGGGGGTGGCGGTGGTGGTGTTAAGGGTGGCAGCGGTGGTGTTGGGGGTGGCGGTGGTGGTGTTGGGGGTGGCGGTGGTGGTGTTGGGGGTGGCGGTGGTGGTGTGGGGGGTGGCGGCGGTGGTGTTGGGGGTGGCGGCGGTGGTGTTGGGGGTGGCGGCGGTGGTGTTGGGGGTGGCATCGGTGGTGTTGGGGGTGGCGGCGGTTGTGTTGGGGTGGCGGCGGTGGTGTTGGGGGTGGCGACGGTGGTGTTGGGGTGGCAGCGGTGGTGTTGGGGGTGGCGGCGGTGGTGTTGGGGGTGGCGGCGGTGGTGTTGGGGGTGGCGGCGGTGGTGTTGGGGGTGGCAGCGGTGGTGTTGGGGGTGGCGGTGGTGGTGTTGGGGGTGGCGGTGGTGGTGTTGGGGGTGGCAGCGGTGGTGTTGTGGGTGGCGGCGGTGGTGTTGGGGGTGGCGGCGGTGGTGTTGGGGGTGGCAGCGGTGGTGTTGGGGGTGGCGGTGGTGGTGTTGGGGGTGGCGGTGGTGGTGTTGGGGGTGGCAGCGGTGGTTTGGGGTGTGGTGGTATAGTGGCGTACAGGGTTGTGTAGTGGCATGTAGTGACGTGGTGTTGTGGCGTGTAGGGTGTGAAGGGGTGTGTGGGGGCGTGTATGGGTGTGTAGGGTTGTTTAGTGGTGTGTAGGGGCGTGTAGAGGCGTGTGCTGGCGTGTAGGGGCGTGTTGTTGCGTGTAGGGGCGTGTTGTTGCGTGTAGGGGCGTGTTGTTGCGTGTAGGGGCGTGTAGGGGCGTGTTTTTTTTTTTTTTTTTTTTTTTTTTTTTTTTTTTTGAGATATATACAAGTGTTGTTACATTCTTGTAGAGCCACTAGTACGCGTAGCGTTTCGGGCAGGTCCCTGGAATACGATCCCCTGCCGCGAAGAATAGTTTTTTCATCCAAGTACACATTTTACTGTTGCGTTAAACAGAGGCTACAGTTAAGGAATTGCGCCCAGTAAATCCTCCCCGGCCAGGATACGAACCCATGACATAGCGCTCGCGGAACGCCAGGCGAGTGTCTTACCACTACACCACGGAGACTGTTAATTGCGTGTAGGGGCGTGTTGTTGCGTGTGGGGGCGTGTAAGGTTGTATAGTGGCGTGTAGTGGCGTGTGGGGGCGTGTAGGGGCGTGTAAGGCTTTGTAGGGGCGTGTAGGGTTATGTAGGGGCATGGTCTTGTGGCGTTCAGGGTGTGTAGTGGCGTACAGGGATGTGTAGAGGCGTAGGGGTGTGTAGGAGAGTGTAGTGGCGTCGTATTGTGGTGTGTAGTGGCGTGTGGGGGGGCGTGTTGTGGCGTGTAGGGTGTGAAGGGGTGTGTGGGCGTGTAGGGGCGTGGTGTGGTGGCGTGCAGGGATGTGCAGTGGCGTATAGTGGTGTGTAGGGGCGTAGAGGGTTGTGTAGGGGCGTGTAGTGGCGTGTAGGGGTGTGTAGTGGCGTGTAGTGGTGTGTAGGGGCGTGTACTGGCGTGTAGGGGTGTGTACTGGCGTGTAGGGGTGTGTAGGGGCGTGTACTGGCGTGTAGTGGTGTGTAGGGGCGTGTAGTGGTGTGTAGGGGTGTGTAGGGGTGTGTAGGGGCGTGTACTGGCGTGTAGGAGCTTGTATCATCAACTGAGGCATCCCTTGTACTTTCATTCACTTGGACTGTATGGGTCTCGAATCATGGACCCCACGCGTGTGAGGCCATAGAACTATCAACTAGGCCATGATCCTAGCCTATCGTGGGGTTCGCGGTTCGAGACCCCATACAGTCCAGGTGAATAGAATGATTATGTCCACGAAAGTGTGGATGGAAATCTATATCTCTTGTAATGTTTACACCTCTCGCCATAAGTTGTGATGTTAGTTCACACCCTTACTGGCCTACGAGTTGAGTTTATGTTGAATCACAGTAATAAATGGTAGCAGCTATGCACTATATAATGCATAGCTGGAAGCATACATGATAAAACAAGATTAAACTTGAACATATTTACCACCATGGCCGAGTCAGTTAAGGCAGACGTCTGGGAATCACCAGAACGCGAGTTTAAGCCACTCCATTGCCTCAAAATGATGTTCATTGATATATCACACCATTGTGATTTCATTGTGATGCAAGGTTAAACTTGTTTGTGTAGCGTTGTAGGATGGAGTCTGGAACGCGCAGTCATGATAAAGTTCTCGGTTAAAATTTGGAAAGAACTTGCTGGTGCCAAAACTCACCAGCATGTTCTTTACAAATTATTAGTTAATTTAAGTAATAATTGTTCCATATTCAACACTGGGTACTATATAAAGTTCTTTTGTTCACTTCATTGATAGAATATATATTTGTCTTTGCAATCTAGTTTGTTAGAAATTTAAAGATGTAGAGTGAAGGACATTCCCATAAATAGTTATATTTTGTGACTGACACACTTCAGTTATAATAATTTTCATAAAATGACATTAGGAATGAAATAATAATAATAATAATAATAATAATAATAATAATAATAATAATAATATCAATAATTATAATAATAATAATAATATTAATAATAATAATAATAATAATAATAATAATAATAATCCAGTCATACATATAATAACCGTTCAATAATTATTTTAATTTATAAACAAAAATACAATAGTAATGAGTGACAATAGATATTGTGAATTAAGCCAGATCAAATATGAGAGCAGCAACCATGGGGGACACATGGCCAGGACAAGGCGGCCATCGTCAGGTTGGCCACAACAAGACAAAAGTTAAGAGACACGTGACTGACTTCAGCTGAACGAATCTCTGAATGTTGTTGCTGTTACTTTTGATTTAGCTACTCAAATGTCTATGTAGCATGGGCTATAGTGAGCACGTAATTGAGTTTGGTTTTTCGCGATTACTTTGTTACTGTGATATTTGGGTAAAATATTTTAATGGAGGTGGGGTTTCCTCCTTTTCTCCCGTTTCTTTTCCGGTTCTGTTGTAGCGCACTGGTTTTGGTCTTGTTTTAATAACATTATCTTGGTGTTGGATATAGATGCACAGTACTAGTATGTTCCATTCTTCTACTGCTTTTCTAATCAGTGTTAGAAAAGCTGTGGATTTTGCATCTAATGCAGCTGCTGTCGTTGGATTAATGTTAAGTTTAATGCACAAGGTTTCAGTTGCTTCACATACCAGTATGTAATGCAATAGTGGTGCCTCTACATCTGTTCCACACATATGACACTCTTTAAATATTGGGTTTATTACCCCCAGCAGCACTTTAACCAAGTCTGAGTCTATGTATGTCTTCTGAAATGTCTTTCGAAATCTTTTTGCCAGGATTAAAAGAAGAGTCCCCAGTGGCTTGTTCATACTACATCGTAGTGGATCTTTTTTTCTGCTACTTTGGCGCTGTGGCGACTTTTGTTAGTTGGGAGTATTTTCTTCTTGATTTGCTCCTTAATCTGTGAAAAACTTGTAGGTATTTTAACTTGTACAACAGGTAGTGCAGTGGCAGTTTTTGCTAGTGAGTCTGCCTTTTCATTACCATCTATGTCAGTGTGACTTGGTGTCCAATTTAAGGTGATTGATAGCCCTAGATTGTGTGTGCTCCTTTTCCTATATGTTGGATTTCTGTGATGAGTTGTATATTATCTTTGTGCTGGCTGGATAATAATGCCTGGAGCATCTTGGAACATTACAGCTATCAGATATAGTTTCACAGCCATATTCACCACACTGGTGGGTATAAGTGGTGTTTCACAGCCACATTCACCACACTGGTGGGTATAAGTGGTGTTTCACAGTCACATTCACCACACTGGTGGGTATAAGTGGTGTTTCACACCCACACTGGTGGGTATGAGTGGTGTTTTACAGCCACATTCACCACACTGGTGGGTATAAGTGGTGTTTTACAGCCACATTCACCACACTGGTGGGTATGAGTGGTGTTTTACAGTCACATTCACCACACTGGTGAGTATAAGTGGTGTTTCACAGCCACATTCACCACACTGGTGGGTATAAGTGGTGTTTCACACCCACACTGGTGGGTATGAGTGGTGTTTTACAGCCACATTCACTACACTGGTGGGTATGAGTGGTGTTTTACAGCCACATTCACCACACTGGTGGGTATAAGTGGTGTTTTACAGCCACATTCACCACACTGGTGGGTATAAGTGGTGTTTCACACCCACACTGGTGGGTATGAGTGGTGTTTTACAGACACATTCACCACACTGGTGGGTATAAGTGGTGTTTCACACCCACACTGGTGGGTATGAGTGGTGTTTTACAGCCACATTCACCACACTGGTGGGTATAAGTGGTGTTTTACAGACACATTCACCACACTGGTGGGTATAAGTGGTGTTTCACACCCACACTGGTGGGTATAAGTGGTGTTTCACACCCACACTGGTGGGTATAAGTGGTGTTTCACACCCACACTGGTGGGTATAAGTGGTGTTTCACAGCCACATTCACCACACTGGTGGGTATAAGTGGTGTTTCACAGCCACATTCACCACACTGGTGGGTATAAGTGGTGTTTCACAGCCACATTCACCACACTGGTGGGTATAAGTGGTGTTTCACACCCACACTGGTGGGTATAAGTGGTGTTTCACAGCCACATTCACCACACTGGTGGGTATAAGTGGTGTTTCACACCCACACTGGTGGGTATGAGTGGTGTGGCTGTATGTGGGGCAGCGCCTCTCAGAGGTTGTATATTTTGTTATTTGACTATTATTATTATCTAAGAATTATTTGAGTATTGGACCAAAAAAGTAACCTTGTATAGGAGTGCTTCGAAAATATTTGTTGCAATAATTTTTCTAAACTTTAAGGGAATGATTTTTTATCTGCGGAAAGTTTGAGTGAGAGGTGGTTTGGTCGGCAACGCCAAAACAGCTCTTTACATACATTCAGTTCTGAAGGTGTCAAACTTGCGCCTGCCCCTGCACATAGAATGAGCCCTAATCTTTCTTTGCGGAGCCAGCGGAACCGGAGATGTCACGAGAGAGGAGGCTTAGGAAACGACGTAGGATGAAGTAGAATATGAAGAGGGCCAGGAGGAGAAGCAGAATGACGTCCAGCATGAGGAACTCCACCCAGGAAAGCTGTGCCGCCGGTGACCTCAGATGGGGCGCCCCTCTGTGGCGGATGACATACTCCGTCCAGAACACCGCCAGGTCCCTGGGTGAGGTGGGTTGGTCCCGCAGTCCAGCAGACATCTTCAAAACGTTGTCTTTATACCTGACAAACGAGGGAAGGGAGAAAGCTGGAGAACTATCACTGTGTATAAGAAATATGTGGGTGCGATTTGAATTACAATATCCACGGGAAATAATGCGTATTATATTAAGGTTTTACTGACAGTCAGTTGAGTCATCAAAGCATAAATCCTGTATGTTAAATGAATATGTGTTCATGTAAAAATTTTAACAGAAAATGGATATGAAGTAGCACAAACATGCTGAATGAGAGTAGAGTACAGCATCGGAAAAAAATCCTGCACCCACTTTTTTTTTTAGAAAATCCATTTGTGTCTATAGATGCTTAATTCATTAGGCAGTTTCATACCTAGGTGTACATTGCGTTAACAATAAATAGTTTGAGATTTTACACATGTGGAGGACGAACTGTATCTAGCTAAATCATTCATAACAGTACTAAATGATGATTGTCCACGTATATGCAAGGGTACTACACAGTTGAGAGTACTAGAACACTATAGTACTTAAACTAGAGAACTACACCACAAGCTCCTACCAGTCAGGTTGAGCTCTGGCTCTTTGGTCCCTCTCTTAACTGTCAATCAACTGGAATTGTGTGTGTGTGTGTGTGTGTGTGTGTGTGTACCCACCTAATCACCTAATTGTGCTTGCGGGGGTTCAGCTCTGGCTCTTTGGTCCCGCCTCTCAACCGTCAATCAACAGGTGTACAGCTTCCTGAGCCTATTGGGCTCTATCATATCTACACTTGAAACTGTGTATGGAGTCAGCCTCCACCACATCACTTCCTAATGCATTCCATTTGTCAACCACTCTGACACTAAAAAAGGTCTTTCTAATATCTCTGTGGCTCATTTGGGCACTCAGTTTCCACCTGCGTCCCCTAGTGCGTGTGCACCTTGTGTTAAATAGCCTGTCTGTATCTACCCTATCAATTCGTGTGTCTGAATGTGTGTGTGTGTGTGTGTGTGTGTGTGTGTACTCACCTATTTGTACTCATATGTTTGTGCTTGCGGGGGTTGAGCTTTGGCTCTTTGGTCCCGCCTCTCAACTGTCAATCAACTGGTGTACGGGTTCCTGAGCCTACTGGGCTCTATCATATCTACATTTGAAACTGTGTATGGAGTCAGCCTCCACCACATCACTGCCTAATGCATTCCATCCGTTAACTACTCTGACACTGAAAAAGTTCCTTCTAACGTCTCTGTGGCTCATGTGGGTACTCAGTTTCCACCTGTGTCTCCTTGTTCGCGTACCACCAGTGTTGAATAATTTATCCTTGGTTACCCGGTCGATTCTCCTGAGGATTTTGTAGGTTGTAATCATGTCTTCCCTGACTCTTCTGTCCTCCAGGGACGTAAGGTGCATTTCCCGCAAGCTTTCCTCGTAACTCATGCCTCTTAGTTCTGGGACTAGTCTAGTGGCATACCTTTGGACTTTTTCCAACTTCGTCTTGTGCTTGACAAGGTACGGGCTCCATGCTGGGGCTGCATACTCCAGGATTGGTCTTACTTAGAGATTGGACCTCTTTATTCACTAAAGTTCCTGTTGATGATCTGTTAGAATTTCTACGTGAGGAACTGTCTAAATATAATTTGAGCTTGCAGACCAATAAAGTATTGGAACTTATTAAATTGTGTATAAAAGACAATTATTTTAGTTTTAATGGAAAATTTTTCAAACAAACATTTGGTATGGCGATGGGCAATCCCCTGTCCCCAGTTTTAAGCAATTTGTATATGGAATTCTTTGAAACAAAAATCTTATCCAGGATTATCCCGGCTAATGTAGTTTGGTTTAGGTATGTTGATGATATTTTGTGCTTATGGCCGTGCAACAAAGACCAGATAGTTTTTCTTAATGAACTCAATTCTTTGGTACCTTCAATAAAATTCACTTGTGAGACTGAGGAGAATGGTACTCTTCCGTTTTTGGACATTATGATTCATAGAGTCACTAGAAAGTTCAAATTTAATGTGTATAGGAAACCTACCAACGTGGGGTCGTATGTTCATTTTTATTCGAATCATCATAGTAAAGTTATACAGGCAGTATTTTCAGGAATGTTTCTACGAGCTTTGAGGGTTTGCAGCCCTGAGTTTTTTGATGAAGAGATTGCTAAAATATATGAAATTGGGAAGAGTTTACAATATCCTAAGAGGTTTTTTGGATTGCTATATATATATATATATATATATATATATATATATATATATATATATATATATATATATATATATATATATATATATATATATATATATATATATATATATATATATGTCGTACCTAGTAGCCAGAACGTACTTCTCAGCCTACTATGCAAGGCCCGATTTGCCTAATAAGCCAAGTTTTCATGAATTAATTGTTTTTCGACTACCTAACCTACCTAACCTAACCTAACCTAACTTTTTCGGCTACCTAACCTAACCTATAGAGATAGGTTAGGTTAGGTTAGGTAGGGTTGGTTAGGTTCGGTCATATATCTACGTTAATTTTAACTCCAATAAAAAAAAATTGACCTCATACATAATGAAATGGGTAGCTTTATCATTTCATAAGAAAAAAATTAGAGAAAATATATTAATTCAGGAAAACTTAGCTTATTAGGCAAATCGGGCCTTGCATAGTAGGCTGAGAAGTGCGTTCTGGCTACTAGGTACGACATATATATATATATATATATATATATATATATATATATATATATATATATATATAAATATATATATATATATATATATATATATATATATATATATATATATATATATATATATATATATATATTATATATATATATAATGGGGGTACCACCTCTGGTGCAATTATAGGGACCCACAGCCTCAGAGAAGGGAGCACAGAGCATTATATATATATATATATATATATATATATATATATATATATATATATATATATATATATATATATATATATATATATATATATATATATATATATATATATATATATATATATATATATATATATATATATATTTTTTTTTTTTTTTTTTTTTTGTGAGGGTACCACCTCTGATGCCAATGTGGGGACCCATAGCCTCGGAGAAGAAAATAAAAAGTATTCAGAGGAGACCTTGTGGTTTCTCACTGAACACTAATATTATCTTCTCCTACCACCCCCATTCTTTTGTATGTACACATATATATTTACTTTATTTGAACTTTGTTACAAAAAAGGAGTTACATATGGGTTACAAAGATGGTTGTCATAGGTTGTCGAGTTCCTCCAGCTCCTCAGATGGCGGGCAGGAACCCTGGATGCAGTGCGCATTTCCCCTCTGTATCGCCACACTGAGGCGCTGGAAAAGAAAGCTTGCAGCTCTCGGGTCCCTTGTTGTTTCAATGAGCCTAGAACCCAGTTCCTTCAAAAAACTGGTAGCACTTTTACCCCAGGCGCCGAGCGTCTCAGAAGCAATGGGGACAAAATTGTAGTGGTGATCCAGTTCTCTATACTTACGGGATTTAGCTGCTTCCCTGTGGGTGGCAGCGCCACCTGGTTGTGCAACACTGAGGTTAATGTAGGTGTTAGCCAGGGTTGATACGCACGTGTAGTCCCATACCAACTGCTTGCCATTCTTCCAGGGGTTCACTGTGATACCATCCGGGCGACCAATAAGAGCATCAGAGTTACGGGGCGTTAGGTAACGGGGCTCTCTTTCAGCTGGGCATCCAGCTGTGGTGAGGCTCCTCTTGATAATATATATATATATATATATATATATATATATATATATATATATATATATATATATATATATATATATATATATATATATATATATATATATATTATATAATGTGTGTGTGTGTGTGTTTTAAGTGGGAGTATCTCAGCGATCGCCGTTATTAACTGACGACAATGCAGATTATAGTAAAAAAAAATGTGTTTTGCTTCGTGGAAAACAGAGAATGAGAGCAGACAATTTTCTGGAGTGGGGTAGAATGGGGGTGGGATGGAACAGAAAGGAGGAGCGAGGGAGTGGTATCATGTGTGAGGTGTGGCTATCCATTCAGATTATCGCAGAAGTCGTGAGGGGGTCTTGGGTTTGAGGAGGCATAGACACCCTATCATTGGTTGTCGTTCTTCGGGAGGGGAGAGAGAGAGAGACTGCCCCGACGGAGACCTCCACGTTATACTGAGAAATATGTATAAGCTGTGCGTCTGATATGCTAGAGTGTTGGTGTGTGAGGTGAGCAAAGATGGACGGTTATTAGCTGCCGTTACTTCACCACGTTGTGCTGCGAGAAATTTTTACATCCTGCTAACGACCCATCCAGTTAATGTACACGTAAGTTAACTTGGATGTAAGTTTCTTCAATAATTCACTAAACCCCCATTCTTTTTCGTAAGTCATTACTATTACTCCACATCTTTTTTTTCCCTCTATTTAATATTATCCCCTTTTCTTACCTACTCTCTACCTATACACTTTGATTCATCTTTGATACCCCTCCTCCCCTCCTCCTTGCATAATCATCTTCTTGCACTCACTTATCTCTTACTTCAAAAATGCAGCCTCCTACATGCTAAACATTTCCATATTTTTTTCACTAAACAATCCTTTTGACATTTACTATACACAAACTATACACTTTTAAACACAAGCTTCACAACACTTCTAAACACAACCTTCACAACACTTCTAAACACAACCTTCACAATGCTTCTAAACACAAGCTTCACAATGCATCTAAACATAAGCTTCACAATGCTTCAAAACACAACCTTCACAACACTTCTAAACACAAGCTTCACAACACAAGCTTCACAATGCATCTAAACACAAGCTTCAAAATGCTTCAAAACACAACCTTCACAACACTTCTAAACACAAGCTTCACAACACAAGCTTCACAATGCATCTAAACACAAGCTTCACAACACTTCTAAACGCAAGCCTCACAAACAACACAAACTTTGAGTGGTTGATGAGGCGGGCGAGAGTGTGGAGGAGGATGTCAACAGTGAGGGCGTCCCAGGCGAGAGTGAGTCCCACTCCGGCGTCCGTGACGAACATTGCATTCCTGGGCTGGTCGTTGCTGATGGGGAGGACGAGGAGTGGCGTGGCGTGGTAGATGGCCTCCAGCATGCTGAACATGCCGCCGTGGGTGATGAACACCTTCACCCTGTGGTGGGCTGAGGCACAGTATTAGCCTGCTTACTGCTAGGTAAACAGATGCACCAGATAAAATGAATCATTGCCCCAATGTTTCTGTCCTTACAGGAATTGAACCCGGGAGGGAGGAAATTATCAGGGGGAAGCGCCAAGCCATTAGACTATATAGCACTTGGAAGGGGTCAGGATAAGGATTTGGGATAGGACGGAGGGGAGGAATGGTGCCCATGCAACCACTTGGACGGTCGGGGACTGAACGCCGACCTGCATGAAGCGAGACCGTCACTCTACCATCGAGCCCAAGTGGTTGGACGATAGAGTGACAATTATAATAATAATAAAGAAAACATTATACCATATATATTGTGAATGCATTTCTATAACTATAAAGTATACACGACGATGCTCGGGTCACACTCCAGACCTCCACTACACACTATCTTCCTCGTTAACTTACAAGTACTTGGACTCACCAAGAATATCCTGCTGGGGAAGCCAATTGCTGATCATTACGTTATCGGGGACGTTCTCCAGTTCTTCCTCATACTTCCAGATGACTCGCTGGGGTAGTCTGCGGAAAGCCTGGAGGAAGAGGTCGCGGTACTGGCTTGGCATGTTCTTCCCTCGTATGAAGGAGCCCAGAGCGAAGTAGATAACTCCGGCGGATCCCGCACCTGTGATCCACGACTCCAGCTCCTGTAAAATATTTTTTACTGAACCAGCTTTTTGTCTGCCGAAAAGCTCTGTGTTCTAATTCTCGTTAACTTTCCCTAGACACAGGAACACTTTTAATGTTTTGAAAGGCAAAATGAAGTACAGAAAGATACAAATTGTATCTTTCACTGTATTATAACATTAAACACTTTCGAATATAAACACAGCTGTGTTCGGAAATTGAAATTAATTAACGGTTGCAAATTTACACTCTACGGCAGTACTCACTTAATTGCTCACCTAATTGTGCTTGCGGGGGTTGAGCTCTGGCTCTTTGGTCCCGCTCTCAACCGTCAATCAAAGGTGTACAGCTTCCTGAGCCTATTGGCTCTATCATATCTACACTTGAAACTGTATATGGAGTTAGCCTCCACCACATCTTCCTAATGCATTCCATTTGTCAACCACTCTGACACTAAAAAGGTTCTTTCTAATATCTCTGTGGCTCATTTGGGCACTCAGTTCCACCTGTGTCCCCTAGTGCGTATGCCCTGTGGTGTTTGTGTGTGCTGAGGAAGTCTTGTTGTAGGGTTGATATAAACGTCATGGCTTGGTTACCACTTTATAGTTATAAACGATTACATAACTAGCTGCTTCCAAGTTGGTAGCGTCCTGTACGCTCTCTGTTTACTAAAAAGGCGTCTTTCCGCAATATAGAAAACGGATGGTACCGTTTTCTGTGAACATGACATCCCTCCTTTTCTTTAAAAAGAATGAATACAGGATGTCTACCATGCTTGTAGCACAAAGCAAAGTTATTGACACAAAGTAAGTTACTAACACATCAAGAGATATTGCATACATTTAACATTAATTAAGCACACAAAGAATTTAAACAACTTAATCTTTACCACAAAGGATTTCAATGTTAAAAATACATATGCAATGTTAAACAAACATGAAAGAAACTGTAATACAAAGTTACAAAATATTGAATGAGAGATCTGCATTATTCAAACAATATTAAATTTAGTTCAGCATAACAAGTAAATACTTTGCATTACATAGGAACACAATTAATCATCAAATCGTGTAGGGCGTTTAACATGACGTTTAGGACGAGAGTCTCCAAATATAAGAACATCCCTTGATGAATTGTTTATTGAGTTATAACTTATTTTTTCTTTTTCTTTTGCACAACTTTGCACTTCATCATTTTCTACACTAGTTGGAATCACTTTGAAATAGGCCATATTACGTGTTATACTATGATCTCTATTACTAGCTGTTATCATAGTTCCTTTTACACTAATCACTTTATATGGTTTTGTATCATACGGCATATCTAGCTTTCCCTCTTTTTTCTTTTTAACTAGAACAGTATCTCCAACCTTTATGAATTGTTCCTTTGCACGTTGATCATGATCAATTTTCATTTTGCCCTTGGCTAGTGCATCCTTCTGAGCGAGACGTTTATCCGTTACCTCGGCTGGCATGACGGGTAGTGCGATTCTCATAGGACGTCCAAATAAAAGTTCGCCTGGCGACTTGCCCAGTGTTCCATGCGGTGTTGCACGGTAGTTCCTGAGAAAAGCATACATAGCTTGTTTCCAGGATCGTCCTTCGGCATGAGCACAGCGTACCGCTTTCATGAGAGGTTGCATGAATCTCTCGACTTCTCCATTTGCTTGAGGATGTAGTGGCATCACACGGCGGTATTTGAATCCAATATGCTCCGCAAAGTTGACGAAGTCTTGTCCATTGAATGGCGGTCCATTGTCCGTCTTGACAACTTCAGGAATGCCAAAGTTTGAAAAGATCTTGTCGAGTTTCGGGATGACAGCCTTTGCAGATGTGGAAGTGATGATTTCTACTTCTGGATAACGTGAGTGATCATCAATGACTATCATCAAGTACTCTCCAGTTGGTAGCGGTCCGCAGAAGTCCATCGATACTTCCATCCATGGTGCAGCAGGTAGTGGTGAAGGTTGTAGAGGTGTTGGTCTTGAAGTATCCATTGCAGCTTGGCAAGGGACACAGGCATCATGCATGTCCTTTGCTTGACGATCAATGCCAGGAAACCACACCTTTTCTCGTAGCAGCTGTTTGGTCCTAACAAGACCTTTGTGTCCTTGATGTGCAAGCTTCAGAGCTCGTTGCAGGAGAACAGCTGGAATGACGATACGAGTACCTCGCAGCACGGTGTCGTGTAACACTTAATTCTGTCTGGATGCGTTCAAGTGCTTTGAATGCATCTTGGTCAACTCCTGAGGGTGGGATGCGTGGAAACTTTTTTTTAATCAATGCATCCACTGTTGCTTGCAGAGTTGGGTCCTCTAGGGTTGCAGTACGGATTTCATCAAGAGTGAGAGCCTTAGGGACTGCATCACAGGTTACAGAGTGTACATATTCCTCGGCAACTTGAATTACATCTGGCATGATGTGCAGATGAACTTTGCTATCAGTAGAACAATCCATTGGTTCAAATCGATCAAAAAATTCATCAACAATACCATCAACATTGTTTGCAGATTCCACTGCTACAGCATTAGAAAGCTGAAGTAGCCCCAATTTGGTTGAAGTCTTGTAACTGAGTAGAGACTCCTTTGCATTCCTAACAACATAGAATGTAGTAGTGAGCATTGCATTCTTTGACTTAATCTCTGCAGTGAAAGTTTCAATCACTGGCAAGGCTACCTTTCAACCATAGGTAGTGGCTTTGCCATTGTAGTTTTCAGCTTTGGGAACTGTTTTTTTAAATTTCTCATAGTGACACTCAGCAATGGTGTCAATGTTTGATCCAGTGTCAATGAGAACTTTGAGACAAATACCAGCAATGTATACTATAGTCTCTGGGTTGTTTGGAAGATCATTCCATTCTGTGATTGCTTGTACTCCATAAGTGTAATCACTTTCACTGTCATCTGAGACTGGTTGTAATGAAATGTTGTCTTGTACATTATTAACATTCTGGATATGAGGTGCAATATTGCGTTTACCACCTCGACCCCTATGACCTGATCCTCGTACAGTGCTTTTATTCACTGACTGTGGTTTCTTTAGTGCGGAACGACACATAGCACCAAAATGACCTAGTTTACCACACTCATAGCACTTCTTACCTTGAGCAGGACAAACATTATCTTGGTGTGGGTAGTCTCCTCCACAATTGTAACATTTATTGTTGACACCTTCTGATGTGGGTCATTGTGACTGCTTGAGTCTTGTTCCTTGACCCCATTTGTGATGTGGTTCTCGGTTCAAATTGTTGTTGGGTTTGCCATGATATCTTCTTTGATCACGGTGTCCTCCCTGAACCTTAAGTACCTCATCACTGTTAGTAACAGTGGCAGAACCGTTGTTGGCACTGCACTCCATGACACGAGCATCACTTGCAGCATCTTTCATTCGACGAGCAATATCCAGTATCTTGGTAAGAGAACTTTCATCATGAAGCAAGTTCTAGAGCTCTTCGACGGAGACGTGTAACCAGCAATGTATACTATAGTCTCTGGGTTGTTTGGAAGATCATTCCATTCTGTGATTGCTTGTACTCCATAAGTATAATCACATTCACTGTCATCTGAGACTGATTGTAATGAAATGTTGTCTTGTGCATTATTAACACTCTGGATATGAGGTGCAATATTGTGTTTACCACCTCGACCCCTATGACCTGATCCTCGTACAGTGCTTTTATTCACTGACTTTGGTTTCTTTAGTGCGGAACGACACATAGCACCAAAATGACCTAGTTTACCACACTCATAGCACTTCTTACCTTGAGCAGGACAAACATTATCTTGGTGTGGGTAGTCTCCTCCACAATTGTAACATTTATTGTTGACACCTTCTGATGTGGGTCATTGTGACTGCTTGAGTCTTGTTCCTTGACCCCATTTGTGATGTGGTTCTCGGTTCAAATTGTTGTTGGGTTTGCCATGATATCTTCTTTGATCACGGTGTCCTCCCTGAACCTTAAGTACCTCATCACTGTTAGTAACAGTGGCAGAACCGTTGTTGGCACTGCACTCCATGACACGAGCATCACTTCCAGCATCTTTCATTCGACGAGCAATATCCAGTATCTTGGTAAGAGAACTTTCATCATCAACAAGTTCTAGAGCTCTTCGACGGAGACGTGTAGATGTGCATGTTTCAATTATTTGCTGTTTGATTTCTTTGTCAACATCAGCAAACTCACAATGGGCTGCTAAACCCTGCAGACGTGTGTGGTATTGATCAACGGTTTCATTAGAGAGTTGTTTGGCTCTCCTGAAATGCATAATTTCCATTGCAGTATTTTGTCTTGGTTTGAAGTGCTCAGTTAATTTGGCTTTGGCAGTGTCATAATGTTTGTCACCACCAGTCTCTTTCAGTGTGTCAAAGATGTCACAAACTCGATCATCTACATAATGAAGTAGAAAGGCACGCTTTCTTTCAGCACTTTTGATGTCTTTTGATTTTGAAATTACCTACTCAAAATTATCTGCTAGATTAAGGACCTGCCCGAAACGCTGTGCGTACTAGTGGCTTTACAAGAATGTAAATACTGTACTATCCAATGTATTCTCGCAAACCCAATGTACCTTTTTGTATATATATAAATAAGTAAATAAATAAAATAAATAAATAAATGTCTGAAACTATCAACAAATTTTCAAACCTTTTAAGCCATTTGGTCCACCTTTGTGACAGGTTTGTCTGGTCACAGTCAGGATCAAATGCAGGAAACTGAGGTATATTTGCCCTTTTTACTGAATAAATGTAAACTTATCACTTAAATGTTCCTCAGAATGCTAAACACTTACTGCACTGTATATGTTAGTTAACAATTCACTGTAATTACTTTAATTTTGCAAAGCACACAAGCATTTTAATGCAAAAGTTCACAGCAGTGCACAACACAGCAGCAACTGACTTCTTACCTAGCCCTTGTGTACATGTGTTGTTCCTACTCACAGCAGCACAGCAGTTGTCAGCAGTTGGCACAGCAGTAGTTAGCAGTTGGTACAGCAGTTGTCAGCAATGTTGTTGTTTGA